TGATGATGAACTCAGGAGAGAAGAATAGCGTGTATACTTCATCCCTCACTTCCTAATAAAATGAAGTTAAGCAACTTCTCCATGTCACACAGATAACACTGGGAACTTGAGCACCGGACCATTTCCATGCCTCTTGTCTCCTCTGCCCCTTGCCCAGACATCACCCTCCTGAAGGTGGAGGTCTGAGATGTCCCGGCTACAGACAGAAGGAAGACTTGAGAAGAGAAGCAACAGTCTTCTACAATCTCTAAATTATCAGGAGTTGGGTTAATTGAATAAAGAACTAGAAAAGTTATTCTAATTCAGAATATCATAGGAATGCTAGTGTGGTAATAAAGACTTGTTTTGTCAAGAGGAAAATGCAACAGGTTTTTGGGTCTCCTCAAATCCTTAGTCTTAACGAGGCTTTGTAATTTTTTTCTTTGACAGAACAAACCCGTGATGGCTTTCGGATTAATAACCCTTTCACTGTGCGTGGCTTATATCGGTTATCTACATGCAACACAAGAGAATAAAAAGGACCTCTATGAAGCTATCGATAGTGAGGGACACAGCTATATGAGGAGGAAAACATCTAAATGGGATTAATAGTGCTGGTTACTATGGATGGAGCTAAATAAGGGCTCTGGAATCATCAAATGATAGACTTTTTAAATACACAATATCATGTTTCTTGTACAGTTGCAACCAAACCACTATAGTAAAAATTTTTCTTTTCAAAGCTGCAGCCATTATCTTATTCTTTTTCCACAGGAAACGACTCAATGTATTTTTTAAATTAAATCCTCTTATAAAAGTACCATGAGAATGGAAGTCATTTTTGTTAATTATTAAGGTCTATATAATAAAGTACCTAGTATTGTTAAATTTCCACAGTATTTTTAATATTTTAAGATGAGTTGTGCATTTGCAATTGTTTTGAGGGTTTAGTTTTGTTTTGCTATTTGCAACGGAAATATTTATTTTCCACCTGGCATAGAATCTATATTTGTGAAGAAAAAGAAGTAATTGTAC